CCCGTGGAAGACTACGAGGGTGCAGCTCAACCCGCCTGCACCTTGCCCGCACACGACATGATGACATCATCAGAATCCCGATCAGGCACCACGCTCCGCACCTTGACAGACACGAGCTGGGAGGTGCCCAGGTGGTCAAACACCGCTTCATCGTGGGGACTGGCCAGGAGATCCGGGTAGGTGCGGGCCTGTGACTTCTTGCCGCTACTGTTGTCCTCGACCTTGGGCCCGCCGACGGTGGCGGGCTTGACGGGGAGCGTGGGATGGTCCTCGGGGATCAGGGCGGCGATGATGGTGTCGCTGTCCATCCAGTCGTAGCTGGGAGGGGGATGGGCAAAGGACAGCTGGGCTTGGGGCCCCTCTGATCGACCTCCACGCAAAACGTGCACCAGCGCTCGCCGAGGCCGCAGCGCAGCGTCCATCTCTGCCGTGAACGCGGCACCCTCACCCTCGACCAACATCGAAGACTCACCCCACGCCCCACCCCCCCATCCCGCCCTCCACATGCCTGATGAAGATTGTGTTGAGGCCCCGAGTGCCGGGAAGACCTCCCGCGCCTGCCAGGACTCAGTGTCCACCGTCCACAGGCGCAGCGGCCCGCGCGCGCCCTCGGCGCTGCTGCGCAGCGTCAGCGCCACGTGGCGGCTGTCCGGCGACCAGCGCGCGTAGTTGATCCAGGAGCCGGGGGGGATGCCCGTCGGGTGGTGGCAGTCGGCCGCCGGGGCGGGGAGAACCAGCGCGTCGTGGAAGGGTGTGAACATGAGATCCGTGTAGTAGGACATCCTGCTGCGCGAGAAGGTCTCCGGGTCGATGCGCAGGCCTGTTTGGCGACCAGAGGGGGGCGGGAATGGAGAGGGCCGGGCAGCCAGCATCAGGAAGGCGGAGCTGCGACTGTGGAACCCCACATCGCCGGAAGTAAAGCGTCCAAACCAAAGGCAGTCTGCACGATCACAGCACCTCAAACAAGCCACACACCTGCAAGCTTGAGCTCCGGGCGAGCCAGCTCGGAGATGGGGGGGTTGGAAGGGGGTCTGCCCAGTTGCAGCACCATCTTCCTGTCGGGTGAGAAGGACAGAGTGGGCTCGGGGGGGGCGTCCACCACCGCTGCCATCTCGGGCGGGGGGAGCATGTACCCCGTACTGGCATCGGTATGAGCCATCGCGGGGGGTGTGGCCTCAGAATTGTCTGCGGCAGCTGCCATCGGCCTGCCGGCCTGCACCATGCGCAGCGTCTGGCGGAGCCGTGCGGCAGCGCTGCCTCGTGGCTGGCCGAGAGGTGCGGTCATGCGGAGGCAAGCACTTTTCAGGAATGGGAGCGTATTCCTCTGGACCAGGGAGGATGACACGTTCATGCCTCGGGCGGTCACTGCACAGCCATGAAGAGGTGGTAGGAAAGGGGCCGAGGAACCCCAGCCGATCGATCGGTTGATGTTTGGACACGATCCAGCACAGTGTCCACCTCGATGCCTACGCTGCCAGCCGAACGTCCTGCGCGCGAATTCTGGCTGAGCTGGCGTGCACCTCCATCCACCTCAGAGTGTGCCGGCTAGTGTCCGTGATCACTTCCTCCCTTTCTTCCAATGCCAGTGCAATTCAAGCGCGGGGACAGCTCCCGGCCCTGGAGTGTGGCTGGAATTCTGGCCCAGAGAGCCCCGGAGGGACGCGAGCACAGTTGAAAGAGGCCTAAATCCTTCAGTTCAGGCCGTCGTGCGCCAAGCCTGCGAGGAGCGGGGCGACTTCAGTGTCTCGAGAGCCGGGCGGGCTCCCCGCACTCTCGACATGCACATCAAGGAAATCACCGTGGATGGCTTCAAGTCCTATGCCCAGCGCGTGGTCATTCCAGGATTCGATCCCCAGTTCAACGCCATCACGGGCCTGAATGGGAGCGGGAAGAGCAACATCCTGGACTCCATTTGCTTCGTCCTGGGCATTCAAAACCTGCAGCAGGCGAGTCCTGGGGACGGTGGTGAGGATATACTTGCCATGGATGGAATCCCTTACTTGCACTGTCGCGTGCATGCACGCATGTCGGTCCAAGCTCCACCCCCCTGTCCCCTGCAGGTTCGGGCCTCCAACCTGACAGACCTGGTGTACAAGCAAGGCCTGGCAGGGGTCACCAAGGCCACAGTGTCAATCGTGTTTGACAATGCTGCCAAGGATCGCAGCCCGGTGGGGTACGACCACCTGGACGAGATCACGGTGACCCGCCAGCTGGTTATCGGCGGCCGCAGCAAGTATCTCATCAACGGCAGAGTGGCGGAGCCATCGTGAGTGAGGGGAGGTGCAATGCGACACGATGAGTATGCATTCGGAGTGGCAAGGGGGTTGCTAAGAAATCTGTGAAAATCCATCCGCAACAATGTCCCCATCCTTCATCAACCCTGGGCAGATCCTTCCCATGCTCACCCCCTCCCTCCCCCCCCTTCCCCCCCGCCCGCAGGCGCGTCCAGAACCTGTTCCACTCGGTGCAGCTGAATGTGAACAACCCGCACTTCCTGATCATGCAGGGCCGCATCACCAAGGTCCTGAACATGAAGCCGCCCGAGATCCTGGGGCTGATCGAGGAGGCGGCGGGGACGAAGATGTATGAGGGCAAGAAGCAGGCGGCGCTGCGCACCCTGGACAAGAAGCAGGTGAAGCTGGAGGAGATCAACCGGGTGCTGACGGAGGACATCATGCCCGCGCTGAACAAGCTGAGGGGGGAGAAGGCCGCCTACATGGAGTGGCAGCACGCCTCCTCCAGCCTGGAGCGCCTGCGCCACTTCTGTGTCGCTCACCGCTATGTCGAGGCCGAGAGGTGGGCCGGCCGTCCCTTGGGAGGGGGGGTGAGTGTGATTCTGTCAGCATTTCAGAAGGGTGGTGGTCAGGAATCATGTCAGGATGTGCACCTGAGAGGGCAAGGTGGATGGAGCCATGGCTCACACCCTGGGGCCTTGCAGCCCCCAGACGCCTACATGCTCAGCCCATGCCCTCTCCACTGGCCGAGAGGTGGGCCGGCCGTCCCTTGGGAGGGGGGGTGAGTGTGATTCTGTCAGCATTTCAGAAGGGTGGTGGTCAGGAATCATGTCAGGATGTGCACCTGAGAGGGCAAGGTGGATGGAGCCATGGCTCACACCCTGGGGCCTTGCAGCCCCCAGAC